AACAGCAGGCATCAGGAACTGAGAAAGGCGACTTTGGTAAAATGCATTCCCACCTATTATAGCCGAATGGGATAAAAAACCTACAAAGGAAAAGCGAGGTCTCAACTTAGGTAAAGTGACACAGCTAGNATTAGTACTCCTTCACTCTTCAGCAAGAATGGGAGGAGCTGTTAAAGCCTCAGAGAACAAATGCAAAACAAAATTGGCAAACGATGGAATTATAAAAGGCCGTTTGTCAATCTCAAATAGATTATATACCACCTCGAGGGCTTACTAGCAAGTGAATAATTTAAATAAGTTCGTTGTTATTTGTAATCTTATAACAGCTCGTTTTCTCCCTCTAACTTTCCTGTTATTATTTTTAACAGCTCTTACGCTCGTCAATGGATCCTTATTATTATCGGAAACAAAATCAGATCCCACCAAGGCACAGTTCAGGAAAGAATTCTGGAAGATCAGAAGGCATAGATGTAACTTAGTTTTTTTGTCCGTATTGCTATGCATTTCAGACATGAGCAATCTCATAAAGGTTGTAAAGAAACTCCACTCAGTCTTTCAGTCAGCATATCAACCATATAGAGGTAGTTAAGATGTTAATGGCGCTCCCTTGAATGCAAAATTTTAAGCATATCAATTCTCTTTAAATTATAATATGTGTTCACGTTTTTGTCTTACAACTCACCCTCGGAGAACGCTGTTATTGAACGCTGTTATTGTCTCAGTACTCAATACAAATATCCCGTCATGTCTCAATTGTGCGTGTTTGTTTACCTAAAAATACTCACAAGCTAGTGCCTCTGTATTATTTATTTTTGCCTGTTCGCATAGCCACTATGGGAGGAACAGATGCTCAATAAATAAATTAAATAAATACATTAACTTTGTTTAACGAGGGTAACACACAACAGTCTTACGACTGACAAACCCGTGGCCCTCTAATTCCCGATCAAATTGGAATTTAGAAATGTTGATAAGCTACAAGGGTCCTTGTCTCGGTATAAATAACAAATAATAATTGTGTTTGGTTCTCTTCACGGATCGGATAGTTTTTTCAAGTTTCCGAGATATGTAATGTTTCGTTTGATTGGCTCTTCTAATGACGATTGAGTAACCGAGGAGAACTATCCACTCTAAGGGCGCGATCCATTCAGCCAAAATTTCCGGAAATTTCTGTCTAAAACTTAATGGATCGGTTCGGTCCAACCGGAAAAGTTTCGAAAAAGTCGGTCCACCTTTCGAGGTGGACCTTTTTTCTCGGTTGGACTGGTCCGACCGAAATGGACCGTTCCATTTGACCATTCCGACCCATTCTTAATCCCAGTACCTCGCTGTTCGGTATTTTCCATGCACAACATGGAGGGAAACACTTATCATTGCAGCTTTTATGGATTGTTAACAGCGGATCTATCGGTGTTAATCGTACATCCATGTGCTGTTACAACAGATTTGTAGCTGCTTCGTAAGCCAAGTGTATGTTTTGGCCCCCGGGGATGGGGGTTACTCCCTATAATGGTCTATACGGGGAGGCTCCGCCTGAAAGGGTTACCTTTTTCAGGCTTCAGGTAAATAAAAGGGTAGGGATTTCACAAGTTGAGGTATATAAAAGGGTAGGGAAATCGGTTATTTGGGTATTTAAAAGGGCCTTTAATTAAAACATTTCGAATAGACGTTATAAGGGTTTAGAAAGGGGGTGCAGTGTTTTAAAGTAGGTATGTGAAAGGGGTGCCTTTTATGCCAAAATGGTATATAAAAGAGTAAGGGGTTGGACCTCGGGGCGGAGCCATCCCGTATTAAACTTTGTTAAGTACCCCCGCGCCGGGTGTTGGCTGTTAACGGCTCTTAAAGACGATTTATTTCCCGAGATATTCGTCATTCGAAAGAAGTGTTTGAACTCATACGGCAAATATCTGGGAACAGTCTGCTCAAAATAACCCGTTATACCGGTTAAATTACTGCGCATGAAACAGCTCACACAATACCATTGATATCACCGTCGAAATCTTCATCTAGCTCTGATACGAGTAACAGTGATCCAACATCCTGCATTTTAAAATGAGCGCGAAACTCGTTTTGTGAGTGGAGTATAACGAGACCGTTCGGACTCGTCGCGATCCATTCGACACCAAGAAATTTTAGAACCTCAGCCCGGTAATTTTGGTTGAATGGATCGCGCCATAAGACTCATGATCGGATGGTTGGGTTGGCACGGAGTAAAACGACTTGGAGGATTTGTCCGACGAAAGTTAACATGAACAACGCAACTGCCCCGGGAAGCTAGTCCTATTTAACTAGTTCCAGAATTATTTGAAGTCCCGGTCTCTAATTGGACACGGAATTAAAGTCATTGTATTTTGGTACCAATCCTGGAGCTACATTTGATCGTGACAATTTAACACCTTCTTACACAGGGTGGTTTTTTTTCTTTTTCTGCTCTTTCAATAGTTGTTTTATCCAGGAGAGATCTAGAGCTAGAAAAACGTTTTGCACCTCCAATAACTTACAAAATTTAGCGTGGGCACAGGCACAAGGAAAATAAATGTGGCTGATCAGCTCAGCAGTATGACAGTAGGAACAGATTAATTCCTTTACCTCACCCAGATGTGTCAACAAAACCAAATACAGTCGAACCTCCTCTAACGACCACTTCTCCACAACGGCCACCTCTCTACAACAACCACCTCTCTAGAACGACGACCTTTTATGGTCCCGGTGGACGGTCCATACCTTCACTTTTGTTTTAACCTCTCTATAACGGCTGCCTCTCCACAACGACATTGGCCCGCACTAAAGCGCGTCCCAACTGCCAAAATAACCTCTATAAAACGGCCAGTTAATCAACAACTGACGAACGGTGTATACAAACCCCGCTTCTTTTTTGGAAAAGGTCACGAAAGTTGATCCATACCGCACGTCGTTGGTCTCTGTTTCTGTTTGGTTCTGTTTTAACGATATATTTTGATTGTGTTACGTACTTACACGCTACACTAAGCATTATTATAAAGATTGAACCCCAAGATAAAACACAGGGTGTCACATTATACCCCTACCTCCCCACAACGGCCACCTCTCTACAACGGCCATTTTCCTCTGTCCCCAAGGTGGCCGTAATGGAGGGATTCTACTGTACATCATCTGTGCTAGCTAGCGTTCTGAACATCGCGCCTCTAAGACAACACCCCAAAAATACTGAAAACATTTTTTTCTCCTTTTTGATTAGTGTTCGACGGAACTAATTGCAGACGATCGATCTGTTTTAAATTGCATTTCTAATTTATTCAATTGACTTTATTCAATTTAATCAATATAGTAAATTGTCCACAGCCTTAATTCTTGTCATTATTTTCGTTGACTAACAGACTGCGAGTAAACAAAAATAAGCTGGTGCGACAGAATTTATCAAATGTTCTACGTGGTCCAACTGACAAAAGAACAAGAACTTAACTATAAAGGAATTTCTCATAGCCCCAAACTAAAACAGATGGGTACTGTCTTATCTAGGACTGTGAGGGGGCGACGTACACAAGGAAACGAGCAGTCTTAGCTTTATCGAAGAAGTCAACTGTCATTAGACATAAATTCAACTCAATGTCTTTGCAAAAATGGTAAAGAAAGTTTATTATGTTTGCAAGCCAAATAAAATTGCATTTTACACAAACTAATTAAACACAGTGTGCATGTACATAATTTTAGTACTGGTTATACATGGAAAGCGACATCTAAGCATGGACGAAAATTCTGCTTATTGTTATGGAGATCTCATTTCAATCAAGTAATGATTTAGTTCTGTAACTTTTGGTGTTAGTAAGCTATTCTTCATATAATTATTTCTAAATGATTGTCGCATTTGAGAGACGGAAATCTATCTGCCAGCGATCCTTTGTTGGCTAATTATAATATATAGCTTCAGTTTTCCTCTCAACTCAAGCCGGGTGATTGAGTGGTACGGCTCGTTACTTTTGGAACTCTACGGCATGGAGAATGTGTCTCTTATTTATTTACATTTTATATTACATTCACAATTCTCTTTGCCCCAAAAAATAACCAAAAAAGAGAAAGAAAACAAAAGCGAAAGAAAAAGAATTGAATTGAGCACAACATCCGCTAAGAAGCTCTAAGAGACAGCTTGTATTCAGTCAAAAACGGCTTTACGTTACGCCTACTAATTTAAACATAGGTCAATTATAAAAGTTTCCTCCAGCAAACATGTAGTTTTTACTATTATAAATAGCTGAAGGACATCACAATTAAAATATGCGAGATTTAATGTAAAGATAAATCGGAAAAAGGCCTTTTGGTGTGGATCACTAAGGAACCCATAGAAATGATTATGATTATGATTATGATTATGATTATGATTTTTTTTTTCGATTTCTTCCAATCATATATGTGTGATAGCGATATTTTTCGTTCTACGAACAGACCACTGACTGCGACAAATAAATATAACCATGGCCAAAGTTCTGTTATATCTGGAAAGTTATAATAATATAATATAGTTACAGGACCCATTACTGTAAAGGAAAGAGATTGACTTTCGTGCGTATCTCTCGTCTTATTGACATCAGGTACCTCTATTGTTATTGATTTGCTAATCAATGAACTATTTGGATCTTAATGAGACTAACCGTCACTCGGCTTAGAAATCAAATTTTCTCACAATGTTTTTCGTCACCAAAATTTTACCGTCTTCGTCAAACTGTTCAAAATTATAGCCGTCAACCGTCAAAAACTATATATATATTAAATAACAGTAAAAATTCTCAGATCAAAATTAATCTGTTGCCGATATACATATCTGAGAGGAACAAAAGTTACTTTTTAAATCACGACAACAAGCTAGCTCAAGGGTGTGGTCATTATTAAATAAAACAATTAAAGTTTGATTTGTATCCAAACAACTCTAGAAAATTAATATACTTGAAACAGTCCGTTTTGATCAGGTTGGATGTATTATATGACAAGTGAGTTGACAACCTGAGTACAGGGATCATTAGGATAAGTCAACCAAGATAAAACACCTCCACCTCATCAGGTGTGAAGTGAGGAGTCCCAGCCAGGATTGTATCCTCTTCTTGTACTCCACTTGGAACAGAGTAGTCGTTGTATTCACCAAAGTTTGAGTAGGAATTAGTGTTACTGTTGGCATTGTCAGCGATGTGGATGTCAAGCCCCCAACCAAAGGTTGGACCATAACCTGAGCCCCTGTAAATTGCACGTGATGGGTTTGTCACATTGCTCTTAAATGGTCCTAGATCCTCGTTGTTGCGGAGCGAAAATATGAACGCATTGGAAGTGGAACCAAGGGTTTCACTGGTATCTGAATGACAGGAAAATTGAAACAGAAATATTGATAACAGAAAAAATAGCCACCTAACTAAATAATAAATAAATAAATAAATAAATTAATTAATTAATTAATTAATACATCAATAACTCGGAAACCCATCAATACTAAAATGTTACCATGTTCTTTAGAGGCAGCTAAATTAGTACTTTGAAGGCTTGACATTAACCCGGGGTTTGATTAGCGGGTGGAAATAGGGGATGGAGGACTTTTAATCACAGTAAAACAAACTTTCTCTAACCTATTCAGAGCTCGTCCTACTAACTTAAATGAAACAGCTTTTCCTAATGATCTTCGTGTGGACGGAAAACATTTTGAAAACAGAGCTATTGGAAACGATAATGTCACAATATACGAAGTGACACTGTATCTAATTAACCTAGAGTTAATGATTAATGATTTTAAAATTGAAACAGAAAATTCATCATACCCCAGGGAATATCAGTGTATCATCCAAACACGTACTCGCCTTTTTTGATGATAGTAACCGTGTCACGTCTCCCATCACACCTGCTGTGAAAGGTACTGACAGCCCAACCGTGAGTGGAAGCGCGGTAACACAGCACCCACTGAGGATTCAATCCAACAGCAGGCGTCAGGAACTGATAAAGGCGACTTTGGTAAAATTCATTCCCACCTATTATAGCCGAATGGGATAAAAAACCTACAAAGTAAAAGCAAGGCCTTAACTTAGGTAAAGTAACACAGCTAGTAGTAACACAACAATTTCACAGCAGTAATTCAGTGCTCAGTTAAACAACATTAACCAATGAGAAAACTATCCTTTCTGATAGAGGTTTCCTCAAATATTAAGAGCGTTCGGTTACATCACGGTTATTTCTTGTCTTCAAGCACTCCACTTGAATTGCAAAATTTGAAATCGTTTTGTGGGGACTCTCTTATGAGGACAGGCCTATAACTCCACCTAGTAACTCAAGCTGGTAACTTCAACCTTGAATACTTACTTATGCTAACTACACTAACATATTCAGCGCCCTCACCCCAGAATTACTCCATCCTCATTGCCAAAAGTGATGTGTATGTGTGTGTTTCTGTAAAAAGTAGGAGTGCTGTTTGTTACAAATGTTTCGATGTTTTAATGCCGGTTAATGTTGTCTTTGTCTTTACTTAGTTTTAGAAATTGTCCACGAAATTTTGTTCCGACAAACAATTACGCACGATTAGTGGCCATGAATAAACAACGGTATATCCTTGAAGACAGAGTGGCGTGCTCTGACCACTAGCTGGAGCCGTGTTATTTCAGTCTTGACTCAGTTCAGTTACTGTTCTAAATACATGTATATGTAACTGGCTCGCATCCTACAAGTTGACATTTTTAACATTTAAAGTAATTAGTATAAATTCGAGAGCTAAGAAAAACATAACAACAACAACAACAAAAAGAACAACCACAATAATCAAATAAACAGACTAACAAAAAATTAGGATGATATCATCAGACATATAAATCAAAAACAAAAAAAGTAGAAATTGCTGCCGTAAGTCCAATTCAGATTCGAATCCATCCATACTTGCAAATGACAATTACCGGACAACGCATTAATGATACATGTATTTCGATCTTTACTTCTCAAGCCCGATCAGTGCTATAGGCAACATATATATATATATATATATATTTTTTTTTTTCAGTTTACTCGTTTGTATTTTGACCTACGGGCTCGTCAAAATACGTCACAACTCGTAAAAATATACAGCGATACTACACACCAAAACATCTAATAAGATATATGTATTTAACACCCACAACAATTTTGTTCAATAGTACATTACACCAGTCAATTTAAACTGATTCGCTCATCAATTCATTGATTTCATTCACTCCCATTCAAAGGGGGGAGGGGTTGGGTAGGTAGATGCCACCCCCCGACATTTTTTGTCCCTAAAGGTTCTTTCGGTATTTTTGAAAGAGAAGCTACTCTATGACGCTGGAACTTTCAGTAGCTGTTCATTCATCTTTCGCCGAGATTTTGACATATCAACTGTCTCCACGTCAATTTACGCTGCCACGGTAACCGCATTTTGACTTGGAGTTCAAGCCAAATTTCGCTTTTTTCTAACAGAAATCTTTGCCGAGGAAAAGATTGTTGTTGTTCATCGTGGTGGATGCAATAATTAAGGAGAACGGTACAACAGCGGACCACCGAGGGAACAGCTACTTGCCGGAACAATGGAACAGTAGGAGGATCGAAATGCACCAATCACAGCCGACCTTTGTGATATAAACGATACCGTGCAATCAGTCGACGTTATCGCCTGAAGAAGACTAGCAGTAAGTAGTCAAAACGTCGCGATCTACATCTCAAGTGACTACATCGTGAGACAAACGATAATACACTTTATTATTAGAAATCTTTGCTTTTTCAGTTTTCTTGAGCATAATCGTAGAATTTGCACCTTTTTCAATCAGTTCTATAATCATGTTTGGATAATTTCTCATCAACTCATGCTATTTTCTGACTTTCTTAGACGAAAGTGAATAGGCCCTTTGCACCATCCGGTCATACGGTACGGAATTAATTATGTTGGGACCCAGTTTACGCTCTGGGATTTCCAAAACAAAGGAACTCGTACCAGTTTAGTCCGACTTTCCTTTGTTTTGGAAGTCCCACTGTGTAACTTGTGTCCCAGTATAATTAATTCCGTACCATGTGACCGGATCGTACAAAGGGCCTATTCCAAGATAGCGGACAGATCCATGATCGTAGAAATGATGACGTCATGGGACGTCTAATGCTTATGCTTATTCCCTTTCACTCCCTGTGGAGCATAGGTCCGTGGAAACTGCCCGCCATCTCCTTTTTTGGGCCAACTTTTCGATCTCTTTCCAAGTGTAGCCTGCCTTTAACGCCTCATTGTCCACGGTTCTCTTCTTTCTGGCTTTTACCACGGTGCGTCATACGAGTCTCCGAAGAGACATTCTCTTGACCAAACACTGATGTAATTTTGTGCCTGCTTCCTATGGTTTCTGTAATCTCGTCTATCCAGTTAGTGGGTGATTGGCCATCAAAGCTTCACACGAGCTCCGTTAGCCAGGCGTTTCAGTGTTCTGGGCAGGCCTTCATGGCTTCCGTGGCGGCCCAGGGGAACAAGTTCCCCGTCATACTTCGCCCTGCACAGCAGTCCCCTACATACCTGTTTCCGTGGACGAGTGGTTGGACTTTGGTGGCCGACGTCTAATGACCTCATGTTTAAAAAAAAAAAAAAAATAGGTCGACTTATAGAGCAAGTCAAGGGCTATCTATTAAAGGNAAAGCAAACTTTGGATGTCCACATGAGTAAAACTCGCGTCACAGGATTGGCTATTTTTGTACCTCACTGGAGCAAGTCAAGGGCTATCTATTAAAGGCAAATTCATTCAAATGTCTTATTAGTATAGGGAATAGAATGACTTGTAGTGGTATTTGAAAATGATACAGCGAGCTATATTTCAAAATTGTCCAAAATACACCGCAAAGCGGCCAGTGGGTATTTGGAAACTTTTGAAATACTTCAAGCCGGTGTCATTACAAAATACCACGTTCAGGTCGTGCTATTATTTGTTTATAATAGAAGCCGATAAATTTTCAGTTAATGCACTAGAGACCTTTATTTCGTCCCGGTTTAGGCGGAAAAAAATGATTGGCAATTTTTTTGTGAAAACCAGGAGTGAAAACTATTGAAGAAAAACAATATGAAATAGTTCAATGAAAGTAATTTTCAAAGCACGGTTTTTGCGGTCTCTGCAGTGGTGGTAAAGGTACGAGTGAGCTTCTTACACTGTTACATTGCTGTTTTGTTGAAAAACACCAACGACAGCTTCGTAATTTATCGTCATCTGACAGCCATGAAAGTGGTGGGCAACTGTTTGGCAGGCTGGAGTCGCTGTATGGTTGAGCTGAATGAGCAAACTGTAAAGCACTGGACGAGAATTCTGAACCTGTTGGCAGGACAGGACAGCTGAAGATGAATGAGATCTGTCGCTGTTCTGCTTTGTCACCTTCCTCGTAGTCTGCCAGTGAACGCTCGCTTGCCATGGCCAAGAGTAACTGACATTTTATCTTATTGATCCTATTACTTGGTGATTTCAACCTGAGCGAAATAGACTGGCCCAACAATCGATCTCTAAGGAACTCCGAGCATCATATACTGCTTTCTGACATAATTCAAGACAACTTCATGCACCAGCTAGTGAACGAACCTACCAGAGATCAAAACATATTGGACCTCGTACTAACGACTAATGTTGACCTGATAAATAACGTTGTGGTAGGCGAACACGTTTCTGACCACAACTCTATTACGTTCACTTTAAAATTGTGCGCCTTACTTGAGTCGTATTTCTAAGAAGT